TTTCAGGCACACTCAAAGATCCCGCCTCTGCGGCCCCACAGCACTAAAGAACGGCACCAAGGCAAAAATCCCAGGTGTGCGGTTTCTTCCCTCTCCCTGTTCCTTCTGTCCGCAGTGCTGATCTAATCCCGCCAGATCACTAATGGCTGGCTCTGTGTTTGTCTGTGATACTGCCCAGCTGCAGCGCCAAAGATGCATGCAGTTTGAGCTGCGGGTCAGGGAAGTACCTGCTAGTGACCTGCAGTCCTGATCTCTGTGACAAAGAAAAGCAAGAAGTCTCCCAGTCTGACCCCAGTCTACTCTGTGACCCTCTGGGAGGGGAGGGAGCTACCCTTCTTGTTGCAATAGTAAGTTTTCCTCCAAATCTCAGCGGAGGTATCCATGCCCGCAGCCAGCCCCCAGGAGACCCAAATTACCTCCAAAAACTCAAGATGAGCTGCTGGAGGCAGGTCTCTGCCGCTGTCCACCAGAATATTAGAGTGGTCGCTGGTAAGCTGTTATAAGGCATCCTCCCTTTTGGCTCGGGGATCTAAGATGGGTGCCCTAGCCCAGTGCTCAGTGACTGCTCCAGAAGAGTTTCCAATGCCTCTCTCGGGTGCCCATCCATCCATCCTCCTAAAGTAGCTCTTTCCCAAATAATCTGTCTGTACCTTTCCTCTAATTCTGCTCTTGCGTGTTTGATGTACTCTGAATCTGTGAGCTGTTCAGAGCACCGAAATTCCTAATTTAAACTGTTGAGGCTAGTTATTCAAGACCTTAGATGCCAGAGGGATAAAGCGTGCTGCTCACTGGCTTGACTCCATTTTGAACTCTGAAACTATTACTTTTGTAATGGAACTTTTTTTCTTTAATTTTTTTTTTTCCCCCGAGGAAGTAGATCTCAGGTCTTTCTTCTGAAGTGCCTCTGGGTACACTCAAACCACCAACCTTTCAGTTAGCAGCAAGCACATTAATTGTTTGCACCACCCAGAGACTCCATCCACACTTTTTGGTCAATCAAATAATTACTTCTCATTTCCTGAGCAGGTTATTTGATTTCTTTCAGTCATAGTTTTTCTTATCTGGAAAATGGAGATAGCAAGCCTATCAATTCTGTGGGGTTGTTGTCAAGATGAAATGAGATCATGTACACTCAACATTTGGCAAAGTAAGACAGTCAATGCTCAACTTCTGGCCATTGCCCTTACTGATGCAGAACTTTGGCAAATGGATCAGTCTTATTCTCATTTCCAATCCCCATATCCATCTGGACAATCTATCCAATGTCCATGAGTCAAAATTCCCTACATTCTTCAACTTCCAATGAATTTAACCTCTACATGATGACTATCAATGACCCTGCTATCATTGAGAAGAGCGCTACCACTGAAGTCATAAATACACCCACTATTCATGTATTAACATAGTTAAGTTCCAAAGATCAGGCCATTATGTGAAAATAAGTGTTATGGGAAAATGGAAGATGACTGCATCATTACATTAGTGTCAAATTACATCATTAAATAACTGCCAAACAACTGAGAATCATGGCCCAGGCAACTTGACACATAACCTTAGCCATCACAGCCATCTTGTACTCTCATCTTGTACCTCAGCATTTATTACTGCCAGATGTACATCATTAATGCACAAAATAGTTGAATACTTTACTATTGCCTTAAATGTAAAATGTCAGATAACCATATAGTTGATAACTGACAAGTAGGTGTACTAATATCCTTTCCGTGATCACAACTTCCTATCCTTGAAGTTCAAGACCTCCAGGCCTCAGGCTCCTCCATTTTTCCCACTGTTTCACTTCCCTTTAATCCTCACCCTTCCTGGACTTCCTCATACATTACTTCAACTAGTCTATATATACATACTACCTACTATATACTACCTACCTACACCTGCCTTTTCATCACACTGGCCTGGCAAAGCTCCAGCACTAAGGCCTTCTCTGCCTTCTTCTCTCTTTCATCTGAGTTACAAGTGAAATCAACTGGAGAAAGCCCCTAACCTCCTGGATATGTGCCACTATAAACACCTAGTGCTTTCTAGGTTTGTTCTTCTTCCTTCCTCCACCTGTTCTCTAGATCACAGCACCTCTCACCTCCTCAGAGACTTTGATCAACAGGTTATCTACTCTCCTTTTCACGTCTTCAATTTTTTTCACTTCTGTTTTCCCATACTCTCAACACATGTAGAAACAAAGTTATAAGTTTCTCATTCTTTAGTCTTTGCCAGAAATTTAATAAAAGTAAAAGCTAAAGGATTCTGATGAAGATCTGTAAAAAGAGAGGGGGATGGCTGTTGGCATAGGTGCTTTATCAAGAGCAACCCTGAGCTAGCCATCACATCTTGTCAGAAAGATAAAGTTGGCAAATAGTTACATACCAGGTACCAAACTTTAAGAAAAGTTAAAGCTATTCCTATAATATTCTTATCATCATAAAGTTGAGTTTATGTCGTAATCTGTTGAACAGGGCAAAGAGTATTTCTATACTATTAAAGGTTTGTTTTATAGTTCTAAGGACAGCTAATTTATAATTTAAGAGTATGTTCATAAAAGAATATATCTGTTGAAATTTTTTATAGACTATCATCCACTTAGAGTTCTTAGGTATGTTTGCCTTAGTTTGCTTTTACCCATCAACTTTAGGAATACTTAACTAACTACTATGTTATTATCTAGTGCTAATTAATCCAATCAGTACAAAACATATGTGCAGAATTTCTTAAAAATAGTAGCACTAATTGTAAGTGCTTTTCCTCCTTAGAAAGTAACCAATGCACATTGTAGAATCACAGTTCTTTATATAGTATCTAGAGTGTTTTCCTGAATAGAAACAATAATCTATTAACATTCTTACAACAACAACATTTCAATAATGTGGTCATTACAATTCTCAATAGCTAAGGAAACTGAGAACACGTCGGTTGCCTAAGGAGTAGCAGAGTTCATGTGCAGATCTTTCTGATTCAAAAGCCCTTCCATTCAGCTCACCAGAATTTTCAGCCTTGCCACATACTGAAATTACCTAAGGATCTTGAGGAGGCCCTGGGCGAGGCAAATAGTTAATTCAGTAGGCTGCTAACAGAAAGGCTGGAGGTTCAACTCCACTCACAGGGCCCTCAGAAGTCCTGATGATCTACTTCCACAAAACAGCCATTTTTCAATGCTGTTGAAAAATGGATTAGAGTTTTACTCTGACACACATGGGGTCACCATGAGTCAGTTGGTGGCAAATGGCTTTAAGTAGTTTGAAAAAGAAAAGAAAAATAACCTTGATGTCCACCCTTCCTCCTCCTCAGATTCTAACTCTCTTGATCTGGGCTGGGCCTCATCCAGGTTGAGAACCACTGCATGACATCAGTCACTGTCCCAATATACTGAGACACAGATGTTATATTAAAAACAAAATGCTCTGATCAGGACTCTAATGAGTTGGCAAATGTAAGTACACTCTCAAATGTAATCTTGTCCCAAAGATAATCTTGTCCCAAAGAAGGAAAGTGCAAGTGTCACACATCTGTGGTCTAAGAATTGGTTGTGTTAGTTCTAGTTCAGCCCGTGTTTGGTAATATAGGACTCCTAACACAAGCTGACCAAACAAGGAGTGAATGTGATGCTTCTTATTATCAGCTACCAGCACTGACATACATACATACCTTTTCATCATAGTAGCCTGGGAAAGTGTCTAAGATGCTCATCCAGAGCAAAAGAGAAAGATGGAAACTAAAGAAACAATGCTACAGGACAAATAATCTACATGAACAAGGCACATGTAGGAGTTTTGGGGAAAAGCAGCAAAGCGCTTGCCAACATAGCACCTGACCAATTATTAAAAAAAAAGTGGAAGTGCGAGCACAGAGATTGACACAAACATGCTCACTAGGATAATGGCAAGCAAAGAACACAAGTGGGAAGGTGAGGACTAAAATTTTTAAGCTTGAGTGAAGGTATCAGCATAGTTCGTGAGTCGCATAGAAATGAGAAGCAAATGGCATGAGCAGAAATTACTTCCGCCACCCTGACTGGGATGATGAAGTGTGACTGAGGCAGAGAGCCCACCACAAGCTTGTTACAATAAAATAATTAGAAGATCATGAAAGATCAAAATAGTCTAGTGATCGAGAGAAGGAGCAAACATCTGAGGCAAAGCAGAGAAATCATTTGTTTGAGTAAAGGATGAACCATATGGGATCAGACTAGCTGGTAGCGAGGTAGAGGGAAAGGAGAAAAATGGCAAAGACAGTCATTGGACCTTCGTTAAACTCAAATTTTAGCACTCTAGTGTTCCAAAACGAAAACCAAACTCACTGCCGTCGCTTCAATCCCAACTCATAGCAACATCTCTTTGTGTTTCCAAGGCACTATCTCTACAGGAGTAGCTTGACCAATCTTCCTTCTGAGGAGTGGCTGGTGAGTTTGAACCACCAACCTTCTGGTTAGTAGTCAAATGCCTTAGGTACTATGTCACCAGAGTTGCTATACTAGTGTTAGAATTATTTATTATTATTATTCCTAAACTTAACTGTTTAAATGATAAAAAGAAATGTTTCTTTATGAAAGCAAATCTTCAGAGAATAAATACATGTCATGATTCAGGATGAATTTCATAAACAACAGTTTAAAAAATATATAAGTATTATACAAAGAATGAAATAAACCTAAATTAATTTAGCAAATTATACTTCAAGCCAGCAATATACTCCAGCCAATGTTAAAAGACTTATTCAAAACTTAAAATCATGAATCCTGGATTCTTGAAAAGGGATACTGATAATCATTAGGAAACTACTGTCCAAATCTCTGTCCAAAAATAAAATCTCTAACAGATGATCATCTGAACTACTTCCACTGATGAAGTGCTCATTTTATGAAATTCTCTTCCACAATCTTGATGTTAATCATCAAATTCTCTACTGAGGGGAGAAAAAGATAAACCTCAATATTCTTTGAAAGATGTATGAGTAAAGGGAAAAAGAACAAAAGACCACCACACTATAGTAAGTATTTGTAAAGATTCTAATAGCTTTTATTACAGTGGTGCAAGATAGTATTTCATCCAACACTGACCAACAACAAACCATCATCTCTATAAAACAATTCCATAAAGTTCAAACAAGAAAATTAAAAGATATATTATCTGTAATAATTCTCATATAATATTGTTTAGTGTTTAAACTCCACGTTACATCAAATAAAGTATAATCATTTTCTAGCAAACATGGCAAAAAAGTTAGCTGTTTACTTTGTTTGCCTATTAAACATATGAGAACATGCCTCACAATTAAAAACTTCTTGTTACAGCACTCCATGACATCAATATCTATTCGTGCTTAGAATCGGCCATTTTGTACCAAATATCATAAAATACAAAATGATAGGAAATATAAACATTGATTTGTATTTCAAGAGTATAACATTTTATTTACAAAAATAGTCTGGGAGGAAAAGGGTTTAGACCTCACATTCGTCCCTGGGAAAATGCTTCTTGTGCCATTTTCTAGCATTGCTTTTCCTAACAATTTTTAAAGTGACATCTGAATTCCTTCAGAAGGAGATTTGTCAACTAGAAGCTCAGGTGGAGAGGAGAGAAAATGGGGGAATAGAAAGGATGAGAAATGGGCATGAAAACACTCAGCACAGAAATGACTCTCACAGATGGCCTGGGGTGCCTCATGCAGTGCGAGGTACAAGTACGCTCCTTGAACATGACACCAAATGCCAGTATATACAGGACCAAGGTCTCCTCTGGTTCTGAAGGCCACTTTCACCAACATGATGCTTCTTGAAGGACTGTCTCAAGGCAAACATTATGACATGACTCCAAAGACAGGGTTGTGACGGCAAATGCTAGGGCCATATTCCTCATAGTCTTTTTTGGTATGACAAACCTGAAAGAACTCCGGCTAAGAGAAAGCAGAAATTAGAAGGAAAAGGTAAACATTATAGAAGGGAAATAAAATTAAATAAACTAACCAAACGAGAAACTCTTACTTATTGAAAATCTTCAGACCTCTGTCGTATGATTTTGACCTTTTCAATGGACTGAACTACTAAGCAGATTTTTTAAAGTAACATTTTATTGTGTTTTTGTTGAAGGTTTATACAGCAGTTTAGGCTGCCAACTGACAATTTCTACACTAGTGTTTGGTGACATTCTTCATAATGCATGAATATGCTCATTATTTCTGTTCTGGTTGTTTTGTTTTCATTCCTGCCCTCTTATATTCTCACATTCTTTTTAAAGTAATTTTTGATCATTTGGTCTCATATAGATTTTTTTAAGGAACACAGTACTTATGGGTGATACGTCCTGTTTTTTTTTAGCCAATTTTAAATTTAGCTACAAGGTGACCTCAGGGATTAGTTTTGGCTCAAAGTTTGAAGAGTATCTCAGGGAAATAATCTCTGGGAATCCTCCAGTCCCAACCACTCTGCTAAATCTGTTTTTTGTTTTGTTTTGTTTTGTTTTTTAATGAAGGAATTTGGGTTTCTGTTCCACATTTTAATTCCATTCTATCAGGGACCTTCTATTGCGGCCCTTGTTAGAATGGTCAGTAGTGGTAGCCAGGTACCATGTAATTTTCTTCTGGGCTCAAGGAAGATGAGGCCATGAATCATATAGGCTATTTATCCTATAAACTAATTTCTTCTTTGAGTCGATGGTTTCCTTCTTTCTCTTTTGCATTAGATAAGTATCTTAGATGGCTGCTCACAAGGTTTTAAGACCCCAGACACTACTCACCAAATTAGGACGCAGAACATAACTTTTTGAATGATACATATTATGCCAGTTGACTGAGATGTCCTATGAGACTATAGTCCTAACCCTTCAAACCCAGAAATCTAATCCCATGAAGTGTTTGGTTAAGTCTAAGAAATATCTGTACATGTGCCCCCTATGTGCTTTATTATATAAATCTATGTACATAGTCACATAGATGCATATATACATGTGCATACACCATATATACACACATATATACATACCTATAATACATACATGCCTACAAACATACATATATACCCACACATATACCTTATGGTTGTTTCTGCCATTGTTTCAAAATTATATATCCCATAGCAATTACCAGGGGAGCGCTGGTAGCATAGTGGCTGAGACACTTGCCTGCTAACCAGACGGCTGGCGGTTCAAACCCACCAGCCACTCCTCGGAAGGAAGGTTGGGCAATCCTACTTCCGTAGTTATACTGCCTCGGAAACCCAAGGAGGGGTCGCTATGAGTCGGGGCCGACTCGACGGCACATAACAACAACAACAACAACAATAGCAATTACCACCTGGTCTTTTTTTCTTCTGTACTTTTTGGTAGCATTGTTTACTTTTGTAATGCTGTATACACTTCACTCTCATTCAGTATTACCTTTCCCATCACCAAAAATAACAAGTGTCTACTATCTAGAGGCGAACTCTGGTGGCATAGTGCCTAAGGCATCTGAGTGCTAACCAGAAGGCTGGCGGTTCAAACCCAAAAGCCACTGCTCGGAAGGAAGGTTGTGCAATCTACTTCTATAGTGATAGAGTGTGAATCCCCTACTCCCACCCCCTGGCCCCTGGTAACCAATAATGAATATTAGTTTCTGTGTATGTACTTGTTCATGTCATTTCATAAAAGTGAAAACATAGAATATCTGTTTTTGTTAATGACTTATTTTGCTCAACGTGATGTCTTCCAGGTTCACCATGTTCCAAGATGCTTCAGGAACTCATGTTTTCCTTATCACAGAGTATTCCATTGTATGTATATTATTGCTTTCTTTCTTTTTAAAAATTTATTCACTTTCTATTTATTTAAGGCCAACCGTATGCTGAGAACAATTTGCTAGTTATTAACAAGTTTGAAGGAAAAAGAATTACTTAGAAAAAGTACTGGAATTAAGGATCAGTGTAAGATTTTTTGGATTATCTTTGGATTTCATTTTTCCATTCTTTCTGTAAGCCCTAATTAGCAAGAATACTTATGAGCTAGCTGTACAATTAAAAAGATTATTAAAATATTTACTATATTTCACAGATAAAAACAAATAATATTTCACTATTCAGAGCACATACACTGTTTAACCTTCATAGGACAATATTTATTAAAATTCAGCAGAGAACACTGAAGTGAAAATATAGAACAACCTAGAAAAAGACTTACAGTTGAGGCAAGCATTGAACCTCCAAACCACACAGCATAGCGCTGCATATGATGTGTTATCACCTGAACCTCCACGGGCTTAGGCTGGAAAAGAAAGTAGTATATATTTAGTTCAAGCAGAACAAATAAATTTTTTATTGTAATAATCTTTAAGCTGACATGAAGATGATTTCATTTTAGGTACAGGAAAATGCAGGGGTCTTCCTTGCATCTTAATGACACAGCATCCTTCCCAACTACGTTTATGTCTTGCTATAACATCACTGTATTACAAAGCTGCCTTCTCAGTTTCTCCGGCTGCAACATCTCCCCCCCCCCCTTAGTCCCTGACTCTAGGCAGGTTCAGATGAATAAATGGTGCAAGTCAAGTAAAGGTTATCTTTCAACAATACTAAAATCACTAAAAAATGAAAAAAATCCAATCAACTGACCTAATTGATTTTTTTGATCAAACTAGATGTATCAGCACTGTAGAGATAATATTAAATAATAATAACTGTCCCAAAAATACTAAATGAAACTGTATCTTTAAAAAAATATGACTCCATTTTAGCAGTCTCTCTTCCCAGTAAGGACTGAACATGTTTTCTCCCACTTACTGTATTAAAATCCAATCCTAGTTAGAAGACCAAATAAAATCACCAGCTAGTTAAGAATTATATGTTAGGAAAGAAAAAAAAAAGAATTATATGTTAGAGAAACACATTGTAATTACCTGTGAATATTAGTGGTTTTAGTTTAATGAGAACATTTCTAAGGGATATTAAAGATCTTCACTATAGATCAATCCCCTCTCCCAGGACACTGGTCATTTCACTACATGCCTCATCTCTTACAATACAAAAGAAAATTGCTGGCAAACATGGGTCAATGAGAGCTTAAAACTGTTGTTACAGCGTACTAGGTTTATCAGTTTTAACTACATACTTAGAATGGGTTCAGGCAATGAAGCCCCGGATGTAATTTCAGAGTATGGCTAAGAAAGCGGTTTTTGTGTGTTTTTATTTCCTGCTAGTCAGACAAGCTTCTTTAATTGGGTGTTGGGGAGCGTCAAGTCAACTCCAGTGCAGCAACTCCTTTCATGAACATGTATGTCTCCATCCTGGTCTCCTACCTTTATTCTGCCACCACTGAGCTCTTCACTAAGTTTTAATCTGGCATCCACCACTCTTTTTAAATCTCTCTGTAGTCGACGTCCAAAATCCCTGAACATTGTCGAACCTCCTGAAAGAACGACATTCTAAAAGACAAAGCAAAGGGTTTCCTGTTGATGACATACTCCACCCATATTTTTCCAGTAAATTGCCCCATAACAAAATCTCCATATGTCTAATCACTTCAATCTATATGAAAAGATACTAATCCAAGTTAATGCAATTAAAAAAGTTTATACTATATATATATTTTTTTCTTTTCTGTGTCAAAAATTCTTCCTCTCAGTACTTTTCCTCAATTAAAGCCAAGTGAAGACAAAAAAATTCAGGTTCCATTTGCTCCCTCAGGAAACCAAAACAAATTGGATAAATTGTCAAACTAACTTTTCATAGTTATTTTTCATCTAAGGTGAAATTAACATTGGATCTTTATTTGTTCTGCCTTACATAATCACTAGGGGAAAGGTCTCTCAATTAATACCTGAACCTTTTCAGAAGTGTGATACTGGGGAGAAAGGGGGATACTGGGTTGGAGAGTGTCCTCCAAGAATTTATGTCCATGCAACCTCAGAATGTGACCTTACTTGGAAATAAGGTCTTTGCTAATGTACTTAGGTTGAGGTCACACTGGACTAGGTGTGTCTTTATCCAATAAGCCTGGTGTCTTGATAAGAACAGGGAAATCTTGACATAAACACAGACACATGGGGAAGACAATCATGTGAAGATGGAGGCAGAAACTGGAGTGATGATGCTGCAAGCTAATGAATGTCCAAGGCTATCAGAAGCTACAAGAGAGAAGGAAGGTGCTTCTCTAAGAGGGTCAGAGGGAACATGGTCTTGCCAACATCTTCATTTCAGACTTCTAGACTCCGGAATTGTAGCAGAATAAATTTCTATTATTGAAGCTAACCAGTTTGCGGTAATTTGTTATGGCAGCCCTAAGACACTAATATAGGCAGCATATCTGAATTAGCTAGAGAGAAATTTTTTCAAATGAAACATACTTGATGTCCACTTTCCTTCCATCATGCTAATATTTTTAAGTGACCACATCAGAAATTTGTGTATGGGAAGAGTGAGGAAAGGGAAGAAGCCACATTAAATGTCCTAGGAGATCTGCATAAAAGATAAAATTTGTTTTCTTTCAGGCTGTAGGATATTATTGAGGACAATGAAAGTGAAATTAAGAATATCACAATTAAACTTTCTTAGAGAAAATATCATCTGAGAAAAGTGTATACAGGGAAAATACATATATATATAAGGAATCCTTTAAGGAACCACAATGACTGATTTCAAGACCCTCTTGCCTTGAATAATAGATTGGGCCCTACTCTTTCTGAATCAGGTAAGTACCTACAGAACTGTCTTCTGTCAGGCACTTGCCCAGGTAAGTTGGTATGTCTCAATGGTGAAATCCTAACCATGCTGATATGTAAGCAGGGGTCACAAAGACCCAATATGTGGAAAATGCACTTCTCCATCCCTGTAACTAGGGTAAGAGACTGTACAATATTAGGGACATCATTTCCTGTCCAATGCTATCTTTAGGAAAGACAGCTAGCACTGAGCAGAAAGAGACCATTGTCCTCTTACTTAACTCCTAAAATAGCTCTCCCTGTACCCATTTGGACTTGGGATTAGATATGGGAAATAGAAAAGTAAGAAGAATGAGAAGAGCAAAAGGCTATGAAAAGCCATTAGTGATCTTGTTTTTTGTTTGGGGATCTACTCAAATTCTTCCCTGAGTGTCTTTAGAAAGAAATTTCACCTCTAATATTATCAGATTTTTGATAAACTAAAATGGGCTTTAACTACTCTAATTGTTGAATTGAAAAGAACTATTAGAAAGCTAAAAAAAAAACAGAAAGAAAGAAATCTTTTCAACTACCTTAGCCAGGTTATTGTGGCCATGAAAACCCATTAACAAGTGGCTGCCCATGGTCTCACCAAATTGTACTAAAATGTTTTTGTCACCTTAAAAAGTCACAAGTAAAATGCATTTTTAAGGCCGGCTCAGGGCTTGGCCTTTAGCCAGGAATGAAGGATGGTTATAAGGTATCTTCCATGGCTCTTTCCAGTAGCAAAAATCACTGAAGAAGCCATGAGCCCTAACTAATATGTCCCATTTCCAACTCCCTACACAAAGGGAGCTCTGGTAGCATAGTGGCTAAGACACTTGCCTGCTAACCAGACGGCTGGCGGTTCAAACCCACCAGCCACTCCTCGGAAGGAA